ATATTTGGCAAAGATGGTAAGGAAAAAGAAATCAGTTAACTTTCTTGAGAATATTAGAAATAAAATAGGAGAAATAGTATACTCAACTAAAACAACAGCTAATGTGTTCCAAAAATATTATAGCTCCCTATATGTGGTTACATCTAAGAACCCAAAAGAACTGGAGGGAGACAGAAGTTAAAAATGCAGACATATCTAGAAACAGCAGCACTACCCAGGCTAGAAAAAGAGAGACTGTCAGTGTTAGACCAATTACACAAGAAGAAATGCAAGAAGCACTAAGGAACACAACTCCTGGGAAGAGCCCAGGGCCGGAGGAATACACTGTAAGATATTATAGGAAATGTAAAGAACAACTAGTGCTGAAAAGGTGTGTGTGTGTGTGTATATATATATATATATATATATATATATACACACACACACATTAGGAGAAGGAATGCAAATAAGGAAAGAGTCGTTGTAGGCACATATTACAATTAGACTTAAAGAACAGGGTAGATTGGGGATTTCTGAGAGGTACTTTAGAAGTGATAGGATTAGGACCTAAAATGATACCATGGATAAATTCATTATATAGTCATCCATCGGCAGCGGTGAAGGTCAATGGCCTATTGTCACAACCTGTTGAAATGTATAATGGAACAAGACAAGGATGTCCACTTTCACCTCTTTTGATGTATTATCACTGGAGCCCTTGCTAGCGACAATACGACAGAGTACAGATATAAAAGGAATTAAAATTGGAGAATTGGAACATAAGGTGGCAGCTTATGCAGATGAAATGTTGTTCTATGTAGTAAACCCTAAAAAACTTTACCAAACTTTATAAGAATGTTAAAAGTGTACGGAGAACTATCACATTTTAAAATAATCCTTAAAAATCTGAGATTTTAGATATTAATATATCAAAAGCATAAGGACAGATATTAAAAGAAAAATTTCCCTTTATCTGGAAGGATAAAGAACTAAATTACTTGGGAGTAAAATTGACGCCATCACTTTAGAGTATATATCAGACAAACTACATACCACTATTAAATGAGATAAAGGAGGAGCTGAGAAAAATGTCAAAAGGCCCACTTTCCTGGATAGGATGAATAAACATGGTTGAAGATGGTGATAGTACCTAAAATCTTATATACATTTCAAATGCTTCCAATATATCTACTGCTAACATACTTTAGGGTGTTGAAAAAAATTATAATGAGATATATATGGGCAAAAAAAAAACCAGGAGTGAAATATGAGATATTATGTAAAAGATATTATTTTGTAGTATTATTAACACGAATAATGGATTGGGTATATGTCAAGCACATGTGGCAGCGAACCCTTGTAGATAGTCAACTTGGGGTTCCCAGTCTAAGCCCCAGCCTGCTTCTTAACCAGAGCCTCTGATGGTGGGGATGGACTTGCAGCAAGCTGAGACCAGGTCATGGCCCCCAGGTACGCCCAGCTGAAACCGCTTGTGGGAGTAAAGTACAATAGGAGGAGACAAACAGAAATCAGATAAACTAGCCGAGGTCAGGATGGGCAGAAAACAAGCACAGTCAGTGAACGAAGCCTGGGTCAGTACACGAGTAGTTAAATGCAGGATACAGGAGTTAGAAACACGCAGGAGCTCAGACAACTAAGAAGTTGCTCAGGCAAAGTGGCCTAGACTGAGCATGTCTTAAATAGGCAGGCAAACAAGGAGGCATTCCAGGAAATAAAGGAAGGGAAGGAAATAAAACCCAGAGAACAGCAGACAACACTCATAGGTGAGCACAGACAAACCACACATGAGAAAGGGATCAGGAACAGCACTGCAGCAAGGAGGTAAGAATACACAAACAAGAAATTGCAGGCTAACTTGTGACAGTATACAATGCACGGGGAAAAAGTTGGGTAGGGATTGAACAAACACTGAGTGCAGCACAGTTAGACATTATTTGGGTTCCACAACAATATAGGATGTTGTCCGAAAAAAACTAGTATTTTAACAAGAAATGTAATTAGGATATGGGATTTAATCCATAAACAAAATGGTTGGTGGTATTAGTGGTGAATTAAACCCCCAGAGGGAACAAATTTGTTTCCACCAGGTAAGAGTACTATAGCAGGAGTTTGGATTAAAGATAAGAATGCACTGTTAAAGGATATTATGAAAGATAGGGAAATAGGCACTTTACAAGAATTAAAATAAAAAAGGACATGTTTTATGAGTTAGATCAGTGTTTCTCAACCTTTTTTCAGTCAAGGCACCGTTTAAAATTATGGACAGTCTCGAGGCACCCTTTAAAATTATGGACAGTCTTGAGGCACCCCATTCTATACTGTGAAAAACTATTCTAATAGTTTTATATAACGCAGCAACATCCACACCCGTAGGACACCCAACACTAGAGGTGATTTATTCTTTCAAAGCAAATACACTTTTGCACACTGGTACTGAGTAGTATTCCATGGTTTCTCTTCTCCCTCAGTTTTTCTCCATCACTGAGCTAATGTGACCCCAGCACTCATGGTGAGGGGCAGGGGAGGGTCAAACTAGGATGCTGTGCAGGCAGCTGACATCCTCCTTATCAACTGATGATGTCATTGGTTGTCAGGATGCCAGTCGCTAGAAGATCGTAATGGTGCACAATGAAAACCTGTGGTTTTGTATAACTATAAGGCAGGCTTGTTCCACCCACTGGTTTGTATACACGTTTTGTTTTGTTTGTATAGACATTTTGCCAAGGCACCCCTGAAGAAACCTCAAGGCACCCAAGGATGCCTGGGCACCCTGGTTGAGAAAGGCTGAGTTAGATGATTGGAGGTATCATCAGTTAAAGCATTTTGTAGAATCACTTCCACAGCCATTGAGAGAGGTTGAAAATATGTACCCATTTGCACAATTGTTAAACTCAAATGGAATACAAAAACATGGCACTTCACACATTTATAAGATAATGACTATGATATCTAAACCAGTACTGCCAGTGTACATGGGTAAATGGGAAAAAGAGCTGAGAATGCAGTTAAGTGCAAAAAATATTTAGTGCAGGAAAATATTTAGAATTGCACATGGGGTAATCAATATGAACACAGTGGAGATGAATTATCAATTCTTAACAAGATGGTATATTACCCCTAGTAGAGCTCATAAGCAACATACGGAGAACTCCTTATACTGTTGGCAGGGGTGTGGTATGGTACACATATGGTAGGAGTGCCCCAAAATACAGGAATTTTGGCAAGAAATAATACAACAGATAGTTGAGATTACGAGAGAGGGAATATAAAAAGATCCATGGGCGTGCTTATTCCTTAATACTGATTTAACAGTGAAACAATATAAGAACATGATGATACCTCACTTAATTAATGCAGCAAAAGGATTGATCCCTAATTTTTGGAAGGCCTAAGAGACCCCTAAACTAAAGGATTGGATAAAGAGGGTAGAAAATATATACAAAGAAGTAAGAATTATATCACACAAGATAAAATGGGTACATTTACAAAAATATGGGAAAGATGGTGTGAGTTTAAAACTACACAGAGATTTGCAGAATTAATGGTGTAGAAGAATAAGGAGGGATGAGAGGCAAAAGAGATATGTTGATATAAAGATAAGAACATTCAATGGGATATATTTCAGATGATAGGAGAGAGGGAAAACTACTGGTTAAAGAAATATGAGAAGGAAGGGGGAGGGAGGGAGGTTCTTTTTTGGAAAATTGTAATAAATGATTGATATGTATTAAATGTTATGTTGGTTTTGTAAGAAACAATAATAAAAATATAATTTAGAAAAAAAAAAAATGGCGGTGATCAGCGACTTATATTGGGACTGTGATACTGTGGTGGGCAATCTGGCACTAGCTAATGCTGGGAGGTACACTAACTGACACTAACATCAATAGTGACATTAATACAGTGATCAGTGCTAATACTGTACACTGTCACTGTAATAATGACACTGGCTGGGAAAGGGTTAACATTTAGAGGCAACCAAAGGGATAACTGCCTAGCAATATGTTATGTGTGTAATATGTGCTGCTTTTACTTTTCTGTATGGCTGTTTATTCTCCCTGCTTAGCAGGGAGAATACACAACCAGATCTCTGTTCCTTGTAAGTAGAGTTCTGTGTTTTGTATACACAATGTCATGTTTCACATGACTGTCATATTGACTGTCATATGCCTTTAAATGTTTTCTATGTTTTGTCTCTGCTCCTCCCTTTCCTTTGGTTTGGTTGGTGTTGCATAGATAGCCCTCCCCCTTTCCCAGGAATGCATTGCAGCAAGCCTCATGGCATGGAGCAGAAACATTATGATCTTTTGACCTATGAAATGTTCATTGTTGTAAGATTCTTTCAGTTTATGGAATAAACTTCACATGATCTACAAGCTTTCATTCTCATTGAGTCACTGACTGTGGTGTCCAACTGAGGTTGAAGTTATCTATATCTCATCACAACTGTAAGTTACAGAGATAACACTATCAATGCTTAGATTGGAGAGACAGAACACACAAACTGTAACTATGTGTGTGATCAGACACAGCCAATTAGCTGAATTCAGTCAAAACGCTGTGTCCAATCAATCTGTGCACCCCAAACCCAGAAGAAGGGTTGCAATGTGCTAGTATGTCATCCGGCCTGCAGCTGCCACGCGCTCATAGTACAACTACACTGGGTGAGCGACAAGTGGTTAAAATTAAACACAAATACAACCATAAACGTTATTGCTTAGAGGTTAAAAAAAAACCTCACCTTGCCAAGAACTGATATATATTTAAGATGTCTTTCTTCATATACACTGGGGTCCTGGTATTCCCAGGCATGGTCACTAACCCGGAGTCCCTCCTTTGATTGTTGCCCTTTGGAATCCACTAACAGCTCATAATCTGTGAGAGAACAAAAACTTCATTTGTATCAAAACAAGTCTCCTGCCTCAAAAACATTGCATATACAAAAAAAATCACTGTATCCCACCAGATGCAATGAGGTTGTTTAGCTCACGAATGACAGAACGGAATGATGGTCTTAAGGCGAGGTTGTAGGACATGCACTGCTGCTCTAAGCTTGCCAACTCTATCCAGTGTGGAGCTGGAAGCTTTAGCTGTTCCTTGTAAAACTGTAGTTTCTGTTTAAAGAGAAGTAATTAATCAGAGATATGTACAGTACATGGTAACAAAGCAGGTCCATTGCATTAGAATACAAATCATGGTTAGATAACAAACAGCTTTTGATACATTATACATTGACTTATTCTTATGCCACTTATTGTATTTTGCCTCAACAACTAAAGCTGGCCATAAATAGATCAGCCAGCGGGCTGATAAAAAAAACTGAATTGATTTCCCCTTCTGCATAATCAAGGTGGATAGAGGAATCCTCTACAATGTTCTATTGTATTCTGACAGTGGGGACTCCTCTGCTGTCAAAATACACTGGTCAGCACTGCAGCCTATTGGCGGGGGTGAGTCTGAGCTGTGTTTGCGTGTGAAAGGACACACAGAGCAGCAACTTGGGAGCGAGCCTGCTTGCTATGGGGGGCACTTGGCAGGAGGGAGGGGCCAGGAGCACTACTTTGTGACAAACCACTGAACAGAGTAGGTGAGTATACCATGTTTGTCATTAAAAAAAATCTGCCTTTACAATTGCTTTAAAGCAGTAGTAATCCCAAAAGAATATATTTATTTTACTGCAGCATACCGGTTCTCAGATGTGATAGCTGCATTAGTCTTTTTTTAAGGCTCTTTTTCCTTTTTTTTTCCTGGTGATCCAGTCAGTAAGTTGGTTGTTTTTCAACAGAACAAACTTAGGGGATGGACTTTGACGTCACGACGATCGATGGTTCCATACTGACACCAGCTGGCAATTTTAGGTTTTTCACCATAAGAAAAAATCTGGAGGACACATTTTGTGAATAAAGCGGTTTTATATACAGAATATTGTGAGTGCATTAGAAGCACGGGTTACTATACGTTAAAGTGAACTATGCAAGTTTGAAGAAATTTCATATATAGACTTTTTTGATAATTATCTGGACAATGATATTGGAAATTTACACTGGTTTATTATTTTTTATTAATTTTTATTCATCTTTTCATATTTCATATCATTGTTTTATTCATTGTGGTATGCAACATAAGTAATAGCAATTGGTTACATGATTTTAAGTGAAGCGCAGCACATTGGGGTATATATTATTGATTCAGCACACTAGTATGAGTATGTGTTAGGTGCAGGTGATTCACAATTAGCACTTAAGTAGGTTTTATTTACTAACATAGCAGCTCACAAGATTTTACTTTTTAATTTATAGACCCTAGAGGTTTCTTCTGTTATAAATGCCCCCCCTTCCCCCCACCTGTCAGCGATAATGTGATCTGAGCCACTTATGCGCAGTTCAGACCACATTTATGGCCCACTCTGCGTGCCGCGGCAAAGTGGTTCTCATGAGCATGCACTGTACTGTAGTGATGTTACCACGGCCTAGCCATTCAACTGGAACCCAGATTTGGAACCCAGAAGGAAGAACGGGTAAAGATGGAAGCACCAGGGAGCAGGGGAACCCATGACAGTCCAGCCCTGAATGGCTCCATTTGCAGGTAATTTGCTCCATTTGCATATTAGTACATTATGACTTAAACCGGCAGGGGGGCACATTTTTTTATACTTTCTAGAGCAAATAAATTAACTTTCCTCGCAGCACCTGTGGGTTCATTCTCGGTCTACTATGGAACTATAGCCTGGAACGTAGGACACATGCATCTGATACTCCTAAAACTTGCTTAGGTTATATTGAAGAGGCTACCAAGTGTAGGGAGTATTGCAGGATATAAAATGTTTATAAAAACTGATATAAAGAAACAAGCAAATGAAAACGTTTTCTTTTTCCAAAAAAAAGTAACATATGTTGCAAAGACATGAAAGTAAGCGGTCACACCATATATGCTACATCTTTAATAGTACACACCTTCTCTGGTTCTTCTGCATTCAGGGGAACAATACCATCATTAAAGATCTCCCATAAAGTGACCCCAAAGCTCCAACAATCGGACTCTAGAACTAGGTTTTTGGGGTCAGATACACATTCTGGAGCCAGCCATGGAATTCTCTCTAGCAGCACTACAAATTTAAATATGCAGGCATTTAAAAATTCAGTATAATATAAAAACAAGTACTGTACACATACATTTCTGAAGAGCACTGTAATATGTACACTTTTGCATATCCCAACCATGCATACCCTAAAGTATGCTGTAAGCAAGTTTGACGTTGCTTTGCTTTCACTTGCTGCATACTTGCTTGTGTCAGATAGGGAAGGACAGGAAACTAGCATTTTCAGAAAAAGGTCAGAAATAGCAGATATAATATTACTCTTGCATTTTCCTTTAATCCAATAACAAAGTGCTGTAATGAAGTAGTAGTCAGGTGTAAGGTAATGCTCTTGTATGCACTGCTTGCAACATGCAATCAAATAAAAATAAATTCCAAGTGCATGTATCTGCCATGATTTAAATTTACTGGTGTACCCTTACTAAAAAAAGATCTCCTTTAGATTTGCAGCACATAAGCAATAACATTGATTTATGATATAGACCCTTTCATCAGTAATTAAAGTGACCCTGTCAGGAAAATTAAGTTGGCCAAAAAGTTCATCCTGCAAAAGAAGAGAGTAAATACTTAAGTCTCCCACTACCCACACTGCTGAACGCAAGTCCATTGAAGATAAATTTTTCTACAATGTCTATTCAGAAACAAACACTTCCAGGGGTTATGTTCTCCAGATCTACCGTTGCACAATGCATCTGAGCACCACAAACCAAAAACACTATTTAATTAACTTTTTAAATTCAAAGCAAACTCCCCCATCCATCCACGTCTTCATGCTTTATTTTGTTGAGAAATCACATTGAAAAACACCCCCTAGCATTTCTGGCCGTGGCCATCTTGAGTAAGGGCAGATGATTCATGTAGCATTTACGTCCTGGAATCCAGCTGCCCTTAGCTCAGCCATGAAGGCAGGTGAGTGTTTTTGGCTAAGAAAACTCCTCCCCTCCTAAAGATCCTGGGATGTATGACACCATTTGCCTAGACATGAAAACCAGGACCAAACTGAAGAAATGTTTAAAAAAAAAGTTTAAAACAAGTAAATATGATATACTTTCTCATCTATTTACTAAGGCTAGCAGCATAAGGAATCAAAATAGGCAATGTTGATTGAGAGATTGAAGTTCTGCTTTTACATAATTACTGTGTCCTATAGTGACATAGGGTGTCACTACAGTTAAGCAGGGGACAACACACTGCTGGAAATTATGATTTCTGAATAGCTTTAGGAAGAAGATTTCTCTTCATCTGAGTGGCACTGTGAGCAGCAAGAGAGATAAGTATTATTCTTACATTATCTTCTTATGAAAGAACAGCTTTTTGGGCTATTTAGATTTTCCTGAGCGATTCACTTTAAATTTTCTACAAATCAGAGTCTGGTGTAACATAACAGTATATCAATGCAATTCAAATTAAAAATAATAAAACATTTTAATCACAAATTAATTTGATTTGCAGCCAGTGTAAACAAACACTTTTTTTTATTTCATCATTTATACATGCTTTAATAATACTGTATATAGAAGCTACCTATGGCATACCTAGTGATAGGTAAATTTTCATATTGATGTAAATGTTTTGGAAGGATTTGGAGAATTTGTAATTGTAGAAATCAACTAACAAAGACTTTGGGTGAGCTGCTAACCATTGCATTTATTTTTTAAATACTCTGTGTAGTCATAAATATATATGACTACATAGAGTTTTAAATATGCTTTGGAAAAGTAAATTTTTTTGTAGGAAGGGTTCTTCCTGCCTGCCCCAGTGTCTCTTGGATCATATGCCCAGGGGGTGAAAAGGTCTACCTCATCATGTGACCACTGTGATTGGCTGTCATACAGGTCACATGCCCTCAACATTGGGGGCAGGGAGGGGGGTGCTTTGAGGAAGGGGGACACAGTACTCATTCACAAAAAAAGTGTCAAAAGTAAATAAAAACAAAAACACAAACCTGAAAAAAGAATGTAAAATAAAAGTGACCTACATTTTTTATAGCTTCCTTCCTTTGAAGCAGAGTCAATTTTCTTATTTTGTTATGATTTTCCACTTATATTATAACCTGAACTATAACAGGCAACATGGGGCACTGTTGCTGTTAATCACTGTTATAAGCAACTATTTGTTTTGAATGAATCTATTCATTGAGTGTTATTTGTGATTGGCCACAGCTAATCACATGGTACAGATGGGCTGTGATTAGCCCTGTCTCTACCACGTGATCGTGCTGACCAATCACAGTGAGCAATACAATAGTACACAATGAATGGCTATGAATGGAAGCCATCCATTCTGTACAAGTGCCATGTGATCTTCTGTGATTGGTCACAGCCATCACATGGTACCGGCAGTCTCCCAAAAATGAATTAAAATGAAACAAATTGCATATGTCTAGTTCCTGTTAACAGGATGACTTTTATGACAACATAAAAGTAGAGAATAAGGTTTTATTAAAAATGTACAGGTATTGGATCAAAAGAACATGATAAATGTTTTTTGAAGAGCTTACTTCCTTGATCAAGGATTTTGATGCTTACACCACGGTCACTGACTTTAATGAAAGGAGGGGTGTCCTTGTCACCTTCACGACTCAAAAGTATTTTTTTAGCTGAAATGTTTCCATGAACTAGTTGCTTATCCTCCTGTTATAGAGACAAGAGACATAAAAGTCAAAGACATTTTAAACCCCAGTTAGGAAATATGTTTAAAGCATGAAAATATGATGGCCATATCCAAAACAACTATAGAAAAAATAAAGTGGACCGAATATTTCAAGTCCATCCTTAGAAACACCAGACTTTAGTGGCCCAGCATGGGAGACAACACATATATATAAAATGCAATCAATTTTATTAGTTATATTTCTATCTTCCATCTTTACCTGTCTCTGATATGAGGATTATGCAGGCCATGCTTACCTATGCGTTTGGATAATACTGTACGGTGGTCTTCACTACTTATATTTAAAGCCAATTAGAATCTAGTGTATGCTCTCCTTTGGAATGCTAAGGAGGTTTGGAGGAACCAAATAATAGATGGTCCAGTACATATTCTCTTTATATATATATATATATATATATATATATATATATATTATATATATATATAGATTTATATATATAGATTACCTTGTCTGGATGTTGCTCTATCTTACTATATGGATATCCCTTTACTCCATGAGCAGATTAGCGGTGTCCCTTACTATTTTGGTGTCGCCTGGTTTATACAATCTGCCAGTGGATATACAGCTTGTGTATGTACTACAGAATATTTGCATAGTTACATAGTGACAAAAGTCCATCCAGTTCAACCATTATATAAAAAAAAAAAAAAAAAAAATGTTATAATCCTACACCCACAGTTGATCCAGAGGAAGGCAAAAAAAACCCAGCTAAGCACGATCTAATTTGCTCCTGCAGGGAAAAAATTCCTTCTTGATCCCCTGAGAGGCAATTGGATATTCCTTGGATCAACTTTACCTATAAATGTTAGTATCCAGTTATATTCTGTGTATCCAAGAAAGAATCCAGGCCTTTTTTAAAGCAATCCTCTTCAAAGCTCTTCATGTGAAGAAACCTTTCCGGGTTTGGAGATTCAAATTCTTTTCCTCCAGACGTAAAGAGTGCCCCCTTGTCCTCTGTGATGACCGCATGGTGAATAACTACACTGAGTTCACTATATGAACCACTGATGTATTTATACATGTTGCTTACATCCCCCTTTATTCTCTTTTTCAATAGAGAATAAATTCAGTTCCTCTAATCTTTCCTCATAGCTGAGCTCCTACATGCCTCTTTTCAGTTTGGTTGCCCTTCTCTGTACTTTATCCACACATGTGTGGGGAACTGTGTCAAACGCTTGAATATTTGAATTATAGTTTGCTGTTTGCGGTATGCATCTGGATGCAATAGGGGGTCTGTATTACTGTAGTCATTTGTGGCCATTGCTTCATTTCATTACCCTTATCTTGATGCCATGCCTACTTTCTTCCTTTTACAGATGTATATCTGAATTTAGATCTATTGTTCGCCTCCAGCCATCGTGCTGTTGTCTGTTGTTTCCATGGCTTTTTCATCTGCTTTACATGTATAATGAGTACAGTATGTCTATTCAGTTTATTTTAGGCCATGGACATGACTGTTTCCATTTGTATTGAATAGCTGTACTATGGTGTGTCAGATTTTTGTTACCCTCTCACTGCTTGCCGCATGGTCTGTCTGGTGGTGTTTTGGTTCCACTGCCCCTGTGTCTGCCCCCAAGGCTAGTGTGGATACCGCAAAAATTAACACACTGATGTCAGCACACACATATGGATTTTTGTTAATATGTATATTTCTTTTGTTATATATCTATATTTTTTGATTGTTTAATAATATACTGTTCTTTTATATGTAGTGAAGCCTTTATGTAATCTTTGGGTCCTGAAGAAACCACAACCTTTGGTGAAGTGTGTTGGCCTTTTGACTTTGACAGCCAGATGTCTACAATAATTGCATTTATACTCATCATTGTGATATACAGTATATGCAATTTTTGACTGTTGATTTACAGGAATTCTGTCCTGAGAGAAATATATGGATTGCTTTTGCTGTCCTCTTTTTGAGAATGCTGGCTGCCTGGCTATCATACTTTCTTTGTGAATCACTGACCCAGCAAAGGTATGCTGCCAAGTCAAAAGTCCTGATCTTGCCATTATTGTAAGATGCTTCCTTGGCCCAATACATTACACCGTTAAGAGTTTACAAATGGGTTAAAACAATATATGTAACAATAAGATCACAATAATAATGATGCACCATAAAATCAGATAATACCAGAGACTTCCTAATCTAGGCTAGGAAAAGTGCAGAAAGATTTGAGCCATGGGCTCCAAATTCAAATGTCTTTGGACCTTTATTGGTATAAGTGAGTATATAAAGGCATATATATAAGTCAATATGCATAAAAGCAAAGAATTCTAAGGAGGCATAAGAGGTGATCTGGAGGTCCTTTAGGATGCCATAAAGGCATACTGAAGGGCAGCAAACACTCAGAAAGCCCCAAATGACCTCAATGAATCCCATAGCCTATGAGCATAAGCATATATTGGCAGCTCCAAAGGAAATGGAAAGGAAACTGCTTCCTGTGCAGCCTCCTGTGCAGCTGCAGCACTCCCTGTTCTCTGCCTCCCCCGGTCTCAGCATTTGGCAGACTCTGGCAGCTGACCCCAGCTATCCTCGGGTCCTCCTCCAGACCCTGCACTTTCTGCTTCCCAGCGTCTTCCTGGCAGCAAAGGTTAAGTGGACTGCACTGTGATGTAAGGGAGGGTGGAGGACTCTTGACATCTTATGTAAGAGGTGGAGGGGCAGGGGGTGGACATCTAGTCTTACAGATACAACTTATATTATTATTATTATACAGTATTTATAAAAGCCAATAGTTCGCTCAGCGCTGTACATTACAAAAGGGGACAGAACAATACCAATACAATGCAAAACATGAGGGAATTGAGGGCCCTGCTCTTTCGAGCTTACAATCTAGGAGGGAGGGGATGGTGGCACAGGAGGAGAAAGCTGTGGGGGATGGAGTGGTAGGAAGAGTTGAGGAGGTCGGCAAGTTAGCAGGGGGTGGGGTAGGCTTCCCTGAAGAGGTGGGTTTTCAGGGTGCGCCTAAAGGAGAGAAGAGTAGGTGATAATCTGATGGGTTGGGGCAGAGAGTTCCAGAGGATGGGTGACACCCTGGAGAAGTCCTGGAGGCGGGTGTGGGAGGAGGAGACCAGGAAACTAGAGAGAAGAAGGTCTTGTGAGGAGTGGAGTGTGCGTGCTGGGCGGTACTTGGATATTAGGTCAGTGATGTAGTTCGGGGCAGTATGGTGGACAGCTTTGTACGTCAGTGTTAGGATTTTGAATTTGATCCGTTGCGCAATCGGAAGCCAGTGGAGGGATTGGCAGAGGGGGGTGGCGGAAACGGAGCGGTTGGAAAGGTGAATGAGTCTGGCAGCCGTATTCAGGATCGACTGAAGCGGGGATAGCCAGCGGCGAGGCAGGCCAGTGAGGAGGGAGTTGCAGTAGTCGAGTCGTGATATTATGAGGGAGTGGATGAGCTGTTTAGTGGTTTCTGGGGTTAGGAACGTGCGGATTTTGGCGATGTTGCGGAGGTGGAGTCTGCACGAGTTAGTTAAAAATTGGACTTGGGGCTGGAAGGATAGGTTGGAGTCCTGAATGACACCAAGTACTCTGGCCTGCGAGGCGGGTTTGATGGTGGTGTTGTTGGACGTGACAGAGAAGTCAATGGGGGGTGGTATCCGGGCTGGGGGGAAGACAAGAAACTCAGTTTTGGAGAGGTTCAGTTTAAGGAAGTGGAGCGACATCCAGTCTGATATGTCGCTCAGTAGGTGTGTGATTCGGGCAGAGACCGAGGGGGTGAGGTGGGGTGTTGAGAGATAGATTTGTGTGTCGTCGGCATAGAGGTGGTAGTTTAAGCCGTGAGAGTGTATGAGTTGGCCAAGGGAGGAGGTGTAGATGGAGAAGAGAAGGGGCCCGAGGACAGAGCCTTGAGGGACCCCAACAGAGAGGGGGAGTGAGGGGGAGGTGGTAGCATTATAGGTAACGCTGAAAGAGCGTTGTGACAGGTACGATGAGAGCCAGGAGAGAGCAGAATCTCTGAGGCCGAGGGAGTGTAGTTTTTTGAGGAGGAGGGGGTGGTCGACTGTGTCGAAGGCCGCAGAGAGGTCAAGGAGTAGGAGCACTGAATAGTGGCCATTAGCTTTGGCGGTTAGCAGGTCGTTGGAGAGTTTGAGTAAGGCAGTTTCGGTGGAGTGTAGGGGACAGAAGGCGGACTGTAGGGGATCGAGGAGGTTGTTGTCGTTGAGGTGAGAGCATAGGCGGGTGTAGACTAGGCACTCGAGAGTTTGGATGTAAATGGGAGCAGGGAGATGGGTCTGAGGTTGTTCGGGTCATTGGGGTCCAGGGAGGGCTTTTTAAGTATGGGGGTGATGTGTGCATGTTTCAGAGGGGAGGGGAAAGTGCCGGAGGAGAGGGAGAGATTGAAGATGTGGGTGAGGGAGCGTAGGATGGAGAGGGAGGGAGGTCGTAGGAGTTGTGAGGGGATAGGGTCGAGGGGGCAGGTGGTGAGGCGGGCATCAGAGAGGATCTTGGAGACTTCCTCGATGGTAGTAAGGTCAAAGATGCAGAGTGTTGGGGGAGCTTCAGTATGAGGAATGTAGGGTGGGGTGGAAGTGGAGGTCAGAGCAGTGGTGGGGCCGTGGGAGAGGGGTGATGAGGGGGTAGTTGAGTGAGGGGGAACGGGGTTGGAGGGAGTTTGAGTAGCGACGAAGTCCCTGCGGGTTATGTCGAGGGGGAGGGGGGATGAGGGGGTAGCTGTGTGAGAGGGGACGGGTTGAGAGGGGCGTGTGAGTTGCGGCGATGTCCTTGCGAATTGTGTCAATCTTGTTTTTGAAGTGATTGGCAATCTCAAGGGCAGTGAGTGAGGTGCTGGGTGGAGGTGGGGGTGTTGCAAACATTAGAATCTGGCTGTAATTAATGCATTACGTAAATTCTTTTTTCCACTTTTGCAGCCAAACTGGGATAACACTTAC